AGGTGACTTTTTCATTGCGGACATCTGCTTCTTAGAAGGAGGACTCAACAAGACTATTAGACAGTGATAAAGACGGTGTTGATGTGACTTCGTTCATTTCCTCTTCTTATTTATCATCATTACAACACAAGGCCTTGTCATCATCGTCAGAAATCCTTATGCGAAACCAACTCGGCAAGAATTCTCCCAAAGTCACCGGGTGGCATGGCTTTTGGTGATGGTGTGTCTCTATCTCCACCTTCTTTGGGTTCTTAATCATTTGTTGCTTCTTTGGTCTTCTTACCATCTTATTCCTCGTAGGTTGCTTCATTGATCCTTTTTGCAGACTCAATTTACGGCGTCTTCGACGAGTCACCAGGGCCCAACCTTCTTCATCAGGTTGATCAACTCGGACTTTGTCATCCTCCAATAATTCTTCATCTTTATTCCCTTCATATGTGCATATCTCAATCAGATTGAATGAGCCAAAGGCAATGGCCACATGGTTTGTGCTCGCATTTTTGTCTTCAAGTTCGATCTTCTTTTGACAAGCCAAATCCATAACTTTGTCCTTGAAGACAAAGCACTTCTCAAGAGGGTGACCTACAAGCCGATGGTATTTGCAGTAATTCAGGTCATTGCCTTTTCCAACTTCATCTGGCCGCTTCATCTCTGGCAGCTCAATAAGCTTTAGCTCGAGGAGTTCTTCAAATATCGCAGGCACATTGGAGTCTAGAAATGGGTACTCATTTTCTTGCATATCTTTGAGCGTCAACTTCCGATTTACATAGTCTTGAGAGGAAGTTGTTTTCATACTCTGTTTCATGCTCACCTTGGTAGTAAACTTCAAAGGAGAGGCATTAACGTTCATGGATTCTTTGATTTCATTCTTGGGTACGAACTTGCTCTATTTCTTGACTTCTTATTTATCTCTTACCTTGTGAGGTTCGTAGATGAGCAACCCTTCATTTCCCGCAGAAGCCATGCTCAACTCCATATCATGAGCATGAGTGGCAAGTTCTTCAAATGTCCCGTGCTTAATTCCTTGCAAGATGTAACGAAGTCCCCAATGCATTCCTTGGATGCACATCTCTATGCCAGAAACTTCGCTTAGCCTATCTTTGCAGTTAAGGCTTGCATTCCTCTATCGGTTTATAAAGTCAATAACTGGTTCATCTTTTCGTTGGCGAGTGTTCGTAAGTTCCACCATACTCACAGTACGCCTCATGCTATAAAAGCGATTGAAAAAATCTTGCTCCAGTTGGTCCCAACTATCAATGGATCCAGCCTCGAGGTTGGTATATCAATCAAAAACATTCTCCTTTAGTGAGCTGACGAACTGCTTGACAAGGTAATCTCCACAAGTCCCTGCATTGTTGCATGTCTCAACAAAGTGCGCAACATGTTTCTTTGGATTTCCCTTGTCGTCGAACTGCTAAAATTTGTGAGGTTGATAGCCGACAGGCAACTTTAAGCTATCGATTCTTGCAGTATACAACTTTGTGTACGTGAGAGAAGACTTTGAAGCGACCTCATACTTATATTTGATAGTTCCCACAATGAATTCATTCAATTGTTCGAGGGGAATTGATCCTTCGGAGGAGACATAAAGTTCTTTGGCGGATGACACTTGTTATGTTGGAGGATCAGCCTACTCACGGACTTCAGGGAGCTTTCCAGGTGCATGACTTGATTCTCCATCCATCATGCTTTCAACTATGCCAGTCAATTTTACGATACAGACATCTTGACCTTGAGCATACTTTGTTAAGCCATCAATCGCCTTTGTCAGGTTTGCAAGTTGCTCCTCCATTGTCGAAGTGTTAGTCATCATTGCCTCCATGATTATTGCAGATGATGAAGAATAACCTATACCTTCCCACGGATTGAACTCAGTTTGGAACATGTCATATGGCGAGATTGGCGTAGAGCCAACACTTAAAACTTCACTATCAAGTTGGGTAAGTTAACTCTTGATATTGTATAAAGTAAGTTGAGCAGAAGATTTCTCCACAACTTCTACAATATTATCTCCTCTCTCTGATTTGCCAGCAGAACCTTTGTTCTTCGGATGATGAAGATCTTAAAGCTTGTATTGGTGTAGATGACACTTGGAGTGTTTGCTGTCCCAAGACACTCGCCTTGCTTCGGGTAATTGGCCCAAGACTCCCAGAGTAGCATTCAAGATACTTTCAACGTCAGAAGAAAACTTGGAGTCAACAACTTTTGAGTCGATCTTCTTTCAAGCCATCATAGTGATCTTGAATGTTGAGAGTTGAGAAGAGATGAGAGGTAGAGATGGTCCCACTGGGCGTGCCAAAATTTGTAACAACTAAATTTCACTCCTGAAAAATAATAATCAAAACAAAAATATAGCGACAAATATTATATTCGATTTCAAGTGATGGGGTTACAATCTCTAAAATATTGACTCTGGATAGCATCAAGGTTTATGATGCCATCTTTGCTTCGTTGTTCACGCATGACTACAATGAGAATGTCCTCTGTGCCTTTTGCGAGCTTTGGCGTCCATCTACAAACACAAGTTCTACCTCTATTTGTGAACTCTCCATCTCTTTGTGGGACTTGCGAGCAATCAGAGGCCTTCCGGTGCATGGATCCTTCTACGACGAAGTTATCCCCTCAGCTAAGGAGTTGACACAAGCAGACAGTCAAGGAAAACCTTTCCTCCAAAGAAGTTGCTTACACATGTTCTCGGCGTTCTACAAACTCATGAAGGACGATGTTCACGAGGTCTCCATTCGTGATTGGGTAGAGTTTTGGTTTCGAAGTCCGAGTAGGTATGCCAAACCTCCGCAAAAGTCATCAAGAAACCGGACTACAAAGCCAAAGTTGAACCATAATCCTTCTGGAAATATTGATGCGAGCTTCCTACCACGAACCGACGAGGAGAATGCCCCTTTTATTGAGCTTGGCGTGGAGGAGTCACTTAGAGCTGAGACTTATTTGGCAGCTTTTCTTGCATGTTAGCTTTGCAATTTTGTGTTCCCCAATAAGAAGATCAACTACATTCGTGCTAGTGTCTTTAAAATCGCGAGTTTGATGGCTCATGGAGAGAAGTTTTCCTTGGCGGTTTCAGTCCTTGCAAGTATCTACCATGGCTTGAAGGAGGTCTCCACTTCTTAAGATTTGGGCGCCTGCAAAGCACTCTTTCCTATTCATTATGTATATGGATGGATAAGAGCATATTTCGATACCTACTATCGTGTTAAGCGTCCACAAAGAGGTCCGCAAATGTGCAAGATTTTTGGCGAGAAGATGGCCAAGCATTTTGACCTTAGTAATGCCTGTGAGTTGTTTCAACAAGTTAATTCGCGACAACTTCACCATTTGGCTATGCTATAAGGGAGGGAATTACATCTTACCGATCGTGACGAACAATCGAATTCTTGGAGTGACTTTTTTATAAGTCTTCGTTCAAGGTTCATCACCCTTAGGCATGATGACATTCATATTGTTGGGTGGAGTAATCTCCTTAGATATGGATGGAGACCTTGATGCAATTATTCAGAGCTTCTTTAGCCTTTCCTTCTGCTTCCTTCCTTCTTTAGCCTTCTCCTTTGACCTCTTTCTATAGATGTGGGGTGGAGTAATCTCCAAGAAAACTCTAGTGGATCATTGGGCTTGAGGCTTATGGGCCGGTCCATTTGATAGAAGACCAATTGACGGGCTAGCCCAATAATACATTGGACTTTTATTTAAATTAATTTATTTTAGATTTAAATAATCGACCCGATTATACTAGCCCATAGTATCATTTGGACTAATATGTATTTAATATATGATAAAATCCAAATTACTTGTGGATTCAAATTTAATAAAATTTTAATTGTTTACAAAGGCAACAGAAAATTAACAAGAACACAAGGCACAATACACAAGAAACTCTTTTCCCAACTTTGTATTTAACTCGAGCATATAAAGAAACTCAAGCTCAAAGTACATCCGTCTACAAAAGATCACTCTTGACCTTAAGCATTTTCACTCTTGAAAACGGGCCTAGAAACTCTTTCCTAACCCAAAACATGCACTCTCACATGTTTTCTCTCTCTATCCCACAAGCATAAGAGTGCTGCATATTTATAGAATATGTGAAGCTCTTTGCCTTTGCACTTGTCACACTTAGGCTTAGACACTTGTCCCGCATAGCCCACTATTTTAGCCTAGTATAGTTGACATCCCCCAACCACTAGGATCATGCAGATCATGCTAATATAATGGAAACATGGCCACAAAAACGTTCTAGCAATTGTCTGCCAGATTTGAACAAAGCCAATTGCTGCCCATGTGCACAACATGTGCCTTGTAACCGCCATTGACTTGGTCAAGCTGAAGCTTGCTATCCATGTATGGGCCTTGGCTTGAATCAGGTGCCAATGCCTTGCTCTTAGGTGCACTGCAACTGTATTTAGCCCATGCCATTGCTCACGCATATGATCCTTTATCGCGCCCCAATGTCATGACAAGTTTGCCTTGCGCGCATGCCTTCGTTGCACTTAGCCTGCCTTCCCACTTCGTGTTTACCCTGCCTTGGCATCACTGCCCCATGCCTTTGCCATGCTCAAGTGTCGCCCTCAGCCCACATCTCATTGTCAAGCCTTTGCCAAGCTACCTTGCCTCCCTCAAAGCCTTGGCCATCACTTGCACGTTTTCCTCTTTGCCTTGGTACTAACTCGTGCATCTTAGCTTGGCAACACTCATACTGCTCCATGACAACATGTTAGTTTTCAAGTCAAGCTCAAAGAGGCGGACCCCTAACACTATCATACCCATGTATGGCTAATGAGACATGTACCTAAGTCACCCATTATCTTCAAATATTGAATTACCTCTTGTACAAGTAAACTTAAATTAGGAGAATAAATCTAATTTTTGCATACTATTTTATATTTAATTTACGTATCAAAATTATTGTAATTGAAATAAATTTTACAATAAAATAAAAAAACTAGTTAAAGAAAACCTGTGTAAAGGATTACTACTAGTAAAAAAAAAAAATCTTAGGACGATTAGAAATTAGAATAATTAATCTTCCTATGGGAAGTTTTTGGAGGTGCAGCCATATGGAAGAGTGAAGACGATCATATCCCAGATCTCCCAGCTCACAAAGTCTTCAACTTCGACAAGTACGTTGAGAACTCGAAGTTGGTTCCACTGATTCCCTATGGTAACCACCATAATCATATGTTTTCTTGATTGTTATTGAAAATGGTAGCAACAATTGAAGGCGGGTTTTTCGGCTAGTGCTGGACCGCTGGTGTGTGCATTGGATATTTCTTAGAGAGCTTGCATTGTTAGTTTGATCGGTTTAATTTGATTGGCTTTTCTCTAATCCCTATTTTTCTTCAATTCTCCTTCGCTTTAAACAGTTGTGAAGTACAGAAAAATCACTCGTGTCGATAAACCCATGGCGACGGCGGCAAGACCCGGTGGCGGTGTTCCTAAGTCGGAAGCTATTTCCAAAGGCTACAATTTCGCTTCTACTTGGGAGCAGGTTCCCCCCCTCTCTTTCCCATTTTGTACAATACTTATATTTTAGGTCTAATTATCTGGAACATCAATCAATGCTCCAGATCTGTGTGAATGCTTTACCAAATTTTCAGCTCTCTCATAGATCTGTGACCGTATGACAAATTTGAAGACCGCATTTCAATCTTCTCACTCCCGAAATAAGAGAAGAATAGTAACGTGCTGTTTAGGATAATGCTGATTGTCACTGACATTGATGTATTACTGGACTTGTTGGATTCGTTACAGCTTTAGAAAATACCTTCCAGCAAATCCTTGTGTAAATAAAGTCCTCTTATTTGAAAAGGGATGGACCTAGTGCATTAGATATGAGTTCGTACAAACCCAATAGCTTTTGTTCAGACCCTGTAAATGTGCTAAAAGATCCACTAAATTAGTATAAAAAATGGATTTCGAACCCAATAACTCAAATGGGTTGTGCTAAAATTCTGAACTCGAACCCATAATGTTCAAATCCTGGATCCTCTGCGACTTAACTATGTTTTCATGTTTGTTCTCATTCCAATGTTGCACTGTTTATCTTTTTTTCCCGTATTACCACTGGCCAACTAGCTGTTTCCTTATCTGGTGACTCTTTTATTTTTAGCTTACTCTTGGAATTCTGATGGAAAATTACAATTTTAGTAATCACCTCCATCTTGGATTTGATTATTCATTTGAGTTTGTGGCCCTCACCATGTCAATATACATTGTTTGTACTGACTTTTTTTTAATGTTTGTATATGCTACATGTGTGTGTTTGTCTACTGATTTTTTTTGCTTTTTGTTAACTAATCCAGCATTAGTGGCTCTCTTGATGTTATATCTTCAACGACTCTAGCTAATTTTCTTCTTACAGAATGCTCCATTAACAGAGCAACAACAAGCAGCCATACAAGCACTTTCCCATGCAGTTGCCGAGAGACCTTTCCCGCCCAATTTGGTGAATTTTTCCTTCTTGGTTGATTTGAAAGTATCATCTATCTCAAATTCAGTTACCTGATATTTTTATTTCTAGTCCCAGGATCAAGTTTCTGGACAGGATAATAATCTCGCTGTCTCACCAAAGCTCAGTTCTCTGGAAGATTCAGGGGCCATTGAAGCAGTCCTAGTGAATACAAATCAGGTCAGTTACAAAAAAACAAAAGAGCAAAAAACTTTCACAATGTTTAGTTGGCCCGTCCATTATTTCTTGACTCTGCTTTTTCCAGGTTGTAGATCTTAATATTCCATATTTTAAATAAGGGATTGTGAATGATTTTTCCCATATAAAAAAGGGTGCACGATCAGCTAAATATTGGAAAGGAATCAGAACTATCACATCTTGTAACCATGATAAGCTATCTGTATGTGTGTTTAGAGCAACAAGTGCTAAAATATAGAGTTGATCTTTGTGTAAGACTAGAAGCTGTAGTGTCTTGTGCTTGGCAACATATCAGTCAAACATAACTGCTAAACCAATGAGTTGGAACAGAATGCATAATAATTGCTTGCTAAATAGCTCCATTTTTTGGCTTTCTTAAAGAATATGCCTCTCATTTTGTCCTGATGATTGTAATTAACTGGAGAGGAAATACCTTATGCCAAGCAAAAAATAACGGAAACTTACATTTAGTGAGAATTGACACTGGTACTCAATGTCTTCTGGGTTAGAAATGCCTTGATTGCAAGTGATGTATTCAGATATTGGTCTGAGATGACCATGTGTCTATTTATGGCCTTGACCCTGCCTGCCTGAGTGGAGCAGTATTTATATCTATATATCAGAAAGACATGCAAAAAGGAATTTGTTTTTAGAACTCTCCATATTTGAACTTTAGTGTTCGCCTTCACCTTTCCATGCAACAGAGTAGGTTTTCGGCTCTTAATTTGCATGCATATGAAATGATAGAGATAGCCCTAGAAGTTCTTTCCCTTTTTCCTTTTATTTTGTAGGTTCTCTATCTTTTGTTGAGGAGATTTTTCCATTGTTAATAAATTTAATTACCTTTTCAAAATAAAAAATAAAAAATTCTGTATCGAGGACATCCAATTATATATACATACAACAACAAGAACAAACCCAGTGTAAGGTTCATGTGTACGCAGACCTTACCCCTACCTTGTGAAGGTAGAGAGGCTGTTTCTAATTATATATACATACAATTAACTAAATAAGAGGCTATTTCTCTAGTGTACAAAATCATTTTCCACCCCTTTCAAAAGCCCTCCTACTTCTCTCCTTCCAAAGAACCACATGAAAACTTATGGAGCCACATCCCATGCCGCCCACATTTTCTTCTCTTTATTGTAAAGCCCAGCTAGTCATATGAGGAAAGTCTCGTTTCCCTTATGTGGCTTTTTCTTTTTCCCGCGCCTTTTCCTGTTCAGCAGAATTAAAATTCTCCATGGATCTTGGTATCGTCCGCTTTGCGTCAAAAATGTTAAAACTGCGCTACTGTGTGACTATGGGCAGTGTAGTAAGAAGTAATTAACATCCTCAGCCTCCATTTCATACTTGTAGTACTTTCTGTGTATATTTCGGCCTCTCTGTTGAAGAATTTGCTGTGTTAGTATTGCTCATATGTCACTGTCTAGCTGAAGCAAGCCACTTTATAAGGAGCTTTAGTTTCCAAATTTGTCTCAGTGGCAACTTTATGTTGCATTAATGTATAAGCTTTAATGATGAATATGCTTAGTTTAGCTTTGTAAATGATGATGGAAATAGCATCCTTGGTAATCCTGTTCTGTATTGCTACTTCAACTTGATATCTTATCTTTTTCCCCCGATGTGCTGTTTTGTTGATCAGTTCTATAAATGGTTTGCGGATCTTGAAGCAGCCATGAAGTCAGAGGTTAGTCTTTAGCTTGTTATATCTCTTCCACATCTTCCAAAAACTACTTGTTGATGCGTGCCCAAAATTACATAAGCTTCCTCTTTTACACTTACTAATGATAAAATTATATATGTTTTCTTTCTATGTAGACGGAAGAAAAATATCAGCATTATGTCAACACCTTAACAGAGCAGATTCTGACCTGCAATAGTATACTTCACCAGGTATTCTGAGAAGAAAAGAATGCTCTTATACTCTTCTCTTAGACCTTTCTGTTGATGCCGTTCATCTATTCTATGCTTGTTTTCGACATGCACTTGCCCTTAATAATGGCTCTCTTGCAGGTGGATGAAACACTTGACTTATTCAATGAGCTGCAGCTGCAGCATCAAGCAGTGGCAACAAAGACTAGAACTCTTCATGATGCGTGTGATAGACTGGTGGGTCAACCCATTTCTCTTAGCCTGTGTGGTTATCTTAGCAATAGATTGTACTTTACTGTATTACTCTTTTCAACATTTTGTAGAACGTAGGAACAATTATTAATTGCACGGTAAGAGGATGCGCTTGTAAGTGATGGAGTTCATTGTAAAAGAGATCGGTTTGCATCAGTCTATGATGCTGAAAGTCCTTACCTCTAGTGTTATCAAAGGCGCGCTTAAAACGCGCTTAAGCCCTGAAGCGAGGCTCAAAACATGTTGAGCGCTTCACCTCGCTTAGCGGGCGCTTCAGTATTGTTCTCAAGGCTCTAAGGCAAACTTTTCCTTGTCAACGAGCGTAATCCTTCAGGCGACACTAAACAGTTGATATTTCACTTTATTGTAAATTTTCTTCAATTTCTTTGTCCATATATTTGGTATTCATTCTTATAGATATTAGTCTTGGACTATACATGCATATTTGCAGTTTTTCTCCATTTGCGCCTTTTTTCATTAAAGCCCGCGTTTTATTTGCACTTTAAGCCCCAATAGACCTTAGATTGTTTTTGCACTTTTCGCCTTTGATAACAGTGCTTACCTCCAATCTACTCTTTTGATGGATTATAGCCTGATGTTTTTAATAGTTGCCAAATATCTTCAATCGCCACCTAGCACCAAGTAAATGCATTTCTTGTTTTTTCTAGCTCAAGTTGCTGTTTGGTATATAGCATTGTCTAGTTGTAATTCATGTCAATATTGTGTATTTGCGATGTCCATTGGTTTGCATTTTAAATTAGGAAGTCTCCCTGTCAGTGTCTAATATTAAGGACATGTGGTGTAGAGGTAAAAAGGTAATAATTAACACAGGAAGCAAACATTGAATACTCTTGCTTGTGCAATTTCTTGTTTCTTTTGCAGCTTTTGGAGAAGCAGAAATTAATTGAGTTTGCAGAATCACTTCACAATAAGCTCAATTACTTCGATGAATTGGAGAATGTAAGGTCCGACTGCCATTTATATTGAAAATATTTCATTGATATCCAGTGCTTTTTGCACTGGTATCCACAGTGGTCTAGCTATGCCTATGCTGAATTGGGTATGGTCTGCGTCAGCTTTATTCTGAGTGCAGAGAATTCATGCTATCTGTATTTTTATGCTTTGATACATTAGTGAGTTAATATACCAAACTGACTTGAACTATGGAAAAGCAGAGCTTTCTCCCTAAAGAAATTCATGTTTTTTTTCAATTAGATTTTGTTCCACAGCCACTCACCAAAGTGCTTCAGTCTTTGTAACTTGAGCTTTGATTCTGGATGGTTTTCTTCCTCATGTTATAAATGATTCATCCAAAGCTAGTCTATCTTGGCTGTATCATTCCAGTGCTTTGGGATTATTCTGATATTTCTTACTTAGCAAGTTATTTATTTAAGGTGGTTTTTTAATCTTGGCTCTTGTTCTATTTTACTGAAAGCCTTTAACAGCTCTTTTCTCTCCCATTTATGTGTTTGGTTGTTTCTAAAGGAAAAACTTTTCGCTTGTGATATTGAGATTGAGAGTTCCTTATTTTTAATGCCCTTCAGAAATGGAATAGCTTTTTAACAAAAAAATATGGAATGGCTTTTTCACCTTTCGATATTCTCGATTTAATCACGACCATTAGCCTAAAAGTTTTCTAATGCTTTTTTGTTGAATTACATCCTATTGGAGCATTCTATCAGCTTGATTTATCTTGTGCTCAATCTTGCTCTTCTTGTTCTTCTTCTTGAACTCTTTTAAATGTCACATATGCAGTTTTCTGTTACCCTTGTTTTTTGCGTTAACTCCTCATGGTTGTCTTGTACACCTGTTTGCAGGTTGCAGCCACTTTTTATTCTCCTAGTATGAGCGTTGGGAGTACAAATTTTCTTCCATTGCTTAAGAGACTTGATGAGTGTATCTCGTAAGTGACATTGCATCTCATATTACCGCATTGAGATCTATGAATTCTACAAAACCAGTGATGATATATAATCCATACTTTTCTTGGTTATTTGTGATGTTTATCATGTGAACAAGTAAAGGGTTCAGAGGTTTCTTCTAGGACAGTAAATTCTTTTCTATGTTGCGCGGACTCTCCAAATTATTGCCGTACCCGTGTCGGATTCTCCTAAAATACACTGCTTTTGGAGAATCAGACACGCACCCAGCGACATTTTCGGAGCGTCCGAGCAATATAGATTCTTTTGCCAAGATTAAGTCCAGTTAAATTAAGCTGGGGTAAATCTTTGCATAAGAGCACAAATAACCTTTGTGTTTCTTTTGTACGTGACTGAAGATATGTTGAGAGTAACCCACAATATGCGGAGTGCAGCATTTATTTGGTCAAGTTTCGACAACTTCAGGTACTTAAAAGCATTGACATAAAAAATTTGTAATCTTCCAAATATGAAAATATATTTCTTTATAGAATGAGCATGGTTTATGAAATTCTGGGATATAAGAATTCTAACCCCATTGCGCTTTCTCTTTCTCTGTGTCTGTTTCTCCGTTTTGCTCTTGTAACCAGTCTCGAGCTCTGGGAATGATTCGCTCTCATGTTCTCTCAGTACTTAGAAGCACTTCTTCTCAGGTAAATCTGCTTTATGTTTCATTTTTATATGCAGAACGATCTTTGACTTGCAGATGAATGGTTGATTTTCCCGAGATATTTCCGTTTGATTAGGTTCAGGCTGCAATACGAAGCAGTGGTGGTAGCAAAACATCTTTGGCCGAGGGTATAGAGGCATCTATAATTTATGTACGCTTCAAGGCTGCAGCAAATGAGGTAACCTTGGAACTTCTCCTTTCTTTTTAGTTTATAGAAAGTCTATTAATGGGCTGTATGAGGGTGAGTATCACAACAACTAGCTTTGCTGTGTAATCCATGAACCAAATGATCTTAGTTATCTGCAGCTCAAGCCTATCTTGGAGGAAATTGAAAGCAGAACGCCTAGAAAAGAATATATTCAACTTCTTGAAGAATGCCACAAACTCTACTGTGAACAGCGCCTTTCATTGGTGAGTCATAAGCACCTTTTAGTTTTATAGCTACTCTTTTCTTACGTATCAGAAATTATATATATATTTCTCTTATTATTGAAGCGGAAGTTGAGCTCCATCAGGAGTCGGTGTCATCAACATACCTGCTTAGGCTTTTATATATTTGCCACTGTTTTTCTATATTATTACGATGAATGCGATAAGAGAATTTGGTAAATAAAGGCAACTTCTCAGGCAATTTAAAGGGCCACTTATATAGGGAAAAAATAGCTCTAAAAGTTGCAGGCTTTGCCTCTTCTGCTGAGTCGGTATATTAACAGCAGAGCACGTGTAATTATGTGTATATTTATATTAAACTTAGTTTTAATTATTTAGCATAATATAAACGTATACCAATTTATTTTATGAAAAGTAATTCTTCAATAATTGAGAAGTTCATCTATAAAAAATATAAAACAAAAACTACTCTTTTTTGAATTGCATAGAAACTACCTTATGAATAAAATTAATTTGATTGAAAAGGGATTGGTGAGAATATTACACGTAAAATTGCAGTGTGTCAAAGGAATTTGCATACAAGTTAAGGGGGCAAAGTATGTATTAGGCCAAAATTATTTTACCTTCTAATATATATTTAAGTTAAATAAAATGAGACGAAAATACAAACTAAATATTAGCAACATTTATGAGTTTATGATAAGGTTTGATTATATTATAGAGAGTTGTCATTCGTAAAGCTAAGCATAGAGAATGATCACTAATTAATGAGAATTCCATATATGCAATATTTGAAAATATGAATAAATATTATTTGAAGTTTGAATCAATTATCCGCCCGGATTTGAAGTAGTTCAATCTCTTTAATGCTACTTCAGAAATCAAATCTGAAGTTCTTTTATCTTTCAAATGCAACTTCAAAAATTCGAATCTTAAGTAGTTCACTCTATTGAATGCAACTTCAGATTTCGAATCTTAAATTCTGAAACATAAACTTGTTTTTCCTTTAAATGAGCTCAAATTTGAAACATATCTTTCAAATATCTTAAATAACAAATCTCGATCATCAAATTATCGAAACAACAATAATTTTAACAAACCCATTTTTGCATCTAAAAAGAAGAAAACAAAATTATAGAAAAAGAGAAAAGTGTATGTATCTGAAGTTATCTAAAAATTGAGTATCAGTTAAACTTTTTCTAAAAAGTGGATATAAATTCAACGGATGACGCAAAATTGGGTGCCACATGAAAATTTTGCCTTTCACTATGGTTGTTGGGTGCCCGGGCTAATTGTAACTAGTATATGTATATNTGTCCCATATCGGGAAGTAGATACTTATTATTATGTAATCACTGTATATAAATAGGGTTGTACAACACTTTAATTAAGCAATAAGATTTTTCTCCCGTGCATTTTCACATGGTATCAGAGCTTCGATGAGAAAAAAAATCGCTATGCGTCACTCCAGCAACATTCGGGAAGAAAGAACTCAGTCACCGTGCAATTTTCCGGTGACCTAAGTGTCTCGTCAAAGTCACTATTTATCAGTGTTGTGAACAAACCAACACCACCACAAGGTCCGACGTAGCCCCGCGACCAAATCCCAGAAAACCCATCGGAAAACTCATTGCCACGCGCCCTCACGCGCCGGGCAGAGTCAAGATTTTCCGGCGAGATCTGTGCACGCCCGGGTGCGCGAGACCCCTTCCAGCCATTTTCCGACGAACTTTCTTCAGGAAAGGTCACTCGCACAGCAATTCCGAATTCTGACAACTTTGGAATTTTAAGGCGAGCTACAGTGTTTCCCGGCGTGAACATTGTTTCCGGCATAAAATCGTGTTCTGTTTTTTGCTGTGAACAGTGTTTTCCCAGCTATTTCTTCAGTTTTCCCGCCGGAGTTACTGATTTTCACTATTTCAAGTTAACCCTACTACTTTTAGTCAAGATTTTGAGAAATAAATTGTAGCGAAATGGGATCCAATAGTATGAATGGTTGGATGGTTTCTCTATCGGATTATATTGAGTTCCTTCAGTACAATGCATGTAAACAGACATCTTCAGGGATAACTTCCGTTGTTCAAACAGATAGTAGCGTGACTTGTGTCTCCCAATCTTCAACCTCCGAGTCTTGGGTCATTGATTCAGGTGCATTTGATCATATTTCTGGTAACAAATCTCTTTTATTTCGTATTCTCAATCTCTTCCAACAGTCACAATGGCCAATGGGTCTCAAACCATGGCAACTGCAATAGGTCAAGCAAGCCCACTTCCTTCCTTACCCTTAGATTCAGTTCTTTATGTTCCCAATAGCACTTTTAATCTCATAGCCGTTAGTCACTTAGCCAAATCACTTAAATACGCTGTTTTATTTCTTGATGACCTTGTTTTTATATAGGAACGCAGTACGAGGCGGATCATTGGTACCGTGCGTGAATCAGATGGACTTTATTACCTTATCCTTGCAAAATCACATGAACTCACATCTTGTCTTCCTTCAATAACTTGTCTTGTTACTGATTCACCAGATTTATTACATAAACGGTTGGGACATCCCGGTTTGTCAAAGCTTCAGAAAATGGTACCTGGTTTATCTCACTTGTCCACTCTAGAGTGTGAGTCATGTCAGCTCGGTAAGCGTACCCGCTCCCATTTACCTCGGCGTCTTGATAATCGAGCAGAGTCACCTTTCACTTTGGTCTATTCAGACGTTTGGGGTCCTAGTCGGGTCAGTTCTACCTTGGGATTCCGCTACTTTGTCAGTTTCATTGATGATTATTCCAGGTGCACTTAGATATTTTTGATGAAAAATCGGTCTAAGTTGTTTTCTATTTTCCAGACCTTCCACGCTGAAATTCAAAATCAATTCGGGGTTTCTATCCGCACATTTCGTAGTGATAATGCCCTAGAGTATTTGTCTTCCCTATTTCAGCAGTTTATGAACTCTCATGGGATTATTCATCAAACATCTTGTTCGTACACATCTCAATAAAATGGGGCAGCTGAAAGAAAGAATAGACATCTTATTGAAACTGCTCGTACCTTGCTTATACAATCTCATGTTCCGATGCGTTTGTGGGGGATGCAGTTCTTACATCTTGCTATCTTATTAATCGTATGCCATCTTCGGCTATCAAGAATCAAGTTCCATTCTCTGTCTTGTTTCCCCAATTACCTTTGTTCTCTCTTCCACCCCGTATCTTTGGAAAAACGTGTTTTGTTCATAACCTTACTCCAGGAAAATATAAGTTAGCTCCTCGTGCTCTTAAGTGCGTATTTCTGGGTTACTCGAGAACGCAAAAAGGGTATCGATGCTATTCTCCTGACCTTCAGCGGTATCTTATGTCCGCTGATGTTACCTTCTTTGAAACCAAATCATACTTCACAGGTCCAGGTAATCACTTAGATATTTCTGAGGTGCTACCAGTTTCATCTTTTGGAGATTCAGTCACTATCCCCCATTCATCTTCCTCTACAACTCCAGCTCCACCACGTGCAGCTCCGGTTGCAGCTTCACCACCTACAGCTCCAGTTGCAGCTCCACCACCGGTAGCTCCAGTTCCACCACCTGTAGCTCCAGTTCCATCACCTATAGCTCCAGTTCCACCACCTAGTCCAGTTCAACCTTCTGCAGCTCTGACTTATCATCGTCGTCCACGTCCAGCATCAGGCCTAGGCGATTCACGTCCTGCATCAGAATCTGCACCTACTGTGGACTTGTCTCCTCTTAGTCAACCAATTGTACTCCGCAAAGGTGTACGATCCACACTTAATCCTAATCCCCATTATGCCGGTTTAAGTTATCATTGTCTGTCATCACTTCATTATCCTTTTATATCATCTTTGTCTACTGTTTCTATCCCTAAGTCTATAGGAGAGGCACTATCTCATCCAGGATGGCGACATGCTATGATTGAGGAGATGTCTGCTTTACATGCGAGTGGCATTTTGGAGCTTGTTCCTCTTCCTTCAGGTAAGTCTATTGTTGGTTATCGTTGGGTTTATGCGGTCAAAGTCGGCCCAGATGGCCAGGTTGATCGGCTTAAGGCTCATCTTGTTGCAAAAGGATACACTCAGATATTTGGACTTGATTATAGCGACACTTTCTCTCCCGTGGCTAAAGTAGCATTTGTTCGTCTCGTTTTGTCCATGGTTGCTGTACGTCATTGGCCTCTTTATCAGTTAGACATTAAGAATGCTTTTCTCCACGGTTATCTTGAGGAAGAAGTTTATATGGAGCAACCACCTGGTTTTGTTGCTCAGAGGGAGTCTAGTGGTCTTGTATGCCGATTGCGCAGGTCACTATATGGTTTGAAACAGTCCCCTCAAGCCTAGTTTGATAAGTTCAGCACAGTTATTCAGGAGTTCGGCATGACTCGTAGTGAAGCTGATCACTCTGTGTTTTATCGGCATTCTGCTCCTAATCTGTATATTTATTTGGTGGTTTATGTTGATGATATTGTTATTACTGGCAATGATCAGGATGATATTACTAATCTGAAGCAACATCTCTTTCAACACTTTCAGACTTAGGATCTAGGCAGATTGAAGTATTTTCTAGGTATTGAGGTCGCTCACTCTAGCTCAGGTATTGTTATTTCACAGCGGAAGTATGCCTTAGACATTCTTGAGGAGACTGGAATGATGGGCTGCAGACCTGTTGACACTCCTATGGATCCGAATGCTAAGCTTCTACCTGGACAGGGGGAGCCTCTTAGAGATCCTACGAGATATAGGAGGTTGGTTGACAAATTGAATTACCTCACAGTGACTAGACCTGGCATTTCTTTTCCGGTGAGTGTTGTAAGTCAGTTTATGGATTCTCCCCGTGATAGTCACTGGGATGCAGTTGTTCGCATTCTTCGGTATATAAAGTCAGCTCCAGGCAAAGGGTTACTATTTGAGGATCGAGGCCACGAGCAGGTTGTTGGGTACACAGATGCTGATTGGGCAGGATCACCTTCTGATAGACGTATTGTGTTCTAGTAGGAGGTAATTTGGTCTCTTGGAAGAGCAAGAAACAGAATGTAGTTGTTCCATCTAGTGTTGAAGCCGAAGATCGGGTTATGGCAACGTGTGAGCTAGTTTGGGTCAAGCAATTGCTCAAGGAATTGAAGTTCGGAGAAATCAACAAGATGGAACTGGTGTGTGATAATCAAGCTGCTCTTTATATTGCGTCAAATCCGGTATTCCATGAGAGGACTAAACACATTGAAATCGGCTGTCACTTTGTCAGAGAAAAGATACTCTCAGGAGATATTGTTACAAAGTTTGTAAAGTCGAATGATCAGCTAGCAGATATTTTCACTAAGTCTCTTACTGGTTCTCGTATTAGTTACATCTATAACAAGCTCGGTACATATGATTTATATGCACCGGCTTGAGGGGGAGTGTTAAGTAGTTAGTCATGTATAGTGTCCCGCATCGGGAAGTAGATACTTATTATTATGTAATCACTGTATATAAATAGGATTGTACAACTCTTTAAGTAAGCAATAAGATTTTTCTCCCGTGCATTCTCACAATTATTTTTTTTATTTTTTCCTTCTCTCATTTTAGTACTCATTCTGTTTCATTTAACCCAGATAAGAGGTATAGTGCAACAGCGGATCTCTGAATTTTCCAGGAAAGAAGCATTGCCGTCTTTGAGTAGATCGGGATGTGCGTATTTAATGCAGGTACATTCGAATTACATCAGTACTGTTCTTAAAAACATTTTGCACTGGAGAATGGTATGATAATTTTTGCCTTACTTTCATCTAGTAGGAAAAG